TCCATGTATTGTTCTACGGATATCACAGAGCTGTAATTTAACAATATTATTAATTCTATTAATTAAGTCCGGCAGTTTCAGGGTTTTCCAATTCACTGCTAATTTCAGGATATTATTTAAGCTTTCACATGAGTTATTCTTCCAATCTAACGGAATCCATTTGTTTTTGTTACAAGATTTGACAACATTTTCCAATAATTTATCTGTTAAATTCTTAAAATAATTTGCAAATGTTGGTACCTCATTTACATATTTTTCATTTTTTTTATTTAAATATTCATATTCCTCTTTGCATGCCATAAGTCCTGTTGCGCCAAATGTCATATCCATTATTTTTCTTCTTTCGCTGATTTCCACACCAATCTTAATTAGGTGATGATTCACATTTTTTGATATGTGCTGCATGCATAAAACTAAATCTGATGAAGGGAAAACACTTTTTACTGCCTTTGTTAGGGCATTCTCTTCATCCGAACCAAAGACAAGATTCATTCCACTCATTTGTGAGCCTACAATTGAGTCCTCCAATTTACATTGTAGATGGGATAGAAACCGGTGATAGGTCGTAAAGAGACCATCCCATCTGGAAAAACCTAGGGGATGGGGGTCAACATTTTTATTAAATATTAATAATAATTAAATATTAATAATGATAATAATTAAATAATAATAATAATTAAATAATAATAATTAAATAACATTAATAATAATAATAATAATAATAATAATTAAATAATAATAATACTAAAGAAATAATAATACTAAAGGAATAAGTACAATCGGTTGAAATTACTTCCCGCTTTTGAAGTAAATCCGTAGTGTAAAAATGAATCTTAAGGAAACAACCAAGATATAATAGAAAGCTAGTTTTTACTTTACTTTTTAAGTATGACGAACCACATTTTATTATTTCTATTTCATTAGTTATTTGAACAGTATAAGTATTTATTTATAGCAAAATAAGTTAAATTAGATTAAATTGCATACATACCTGTAATGGTGAAGATGGACATCCAGTACGAGCTTTGCGTTTATGTATTCTGGACTCTTCTAACGAGGGCCAATCGTCGTCGAAAGACTAAAGAAATTTTAAGAAAAAAAAGTTAGTAGGACAACATAATACAATACTTTTGGAAAAATTGTAAAGACATTTATTGTGCTCTATTTGCATCATTTATTGATTATCAGATACTACTGGTACTAGTACAAATAGCCATCAAGACATGATGAAATGTATAGTTTTATTTCTTCAGCATAACTATCTTTAACAAGGACAATATTGTTATTGATTGGCCTATAGTTAAGCATGGGATCAGTAGGTGCAGTCTAAATAGGCCTACACTTCATCGTACATACCTGATGTGGTGTTGATTTAGCACGTCCAAGTTCTGGAAGCTCTGGTTCAGGGCTACTTTCAATGGTGATTGTCACTGGCCCGGCGATCCTGACCGGTAACAGGGGGACGAAATGGTTTGGTGTCCATGTGCCCGTTGACCCAGATGATCCAAAGACCGTCCACATTATACGTATTGGCCGTTTGGTAGAAGATGTCCTGGGTGTAAAGTGTTTATTTAGAATTACGAAACAATTGTCAACAAGTCCGTTAAGCGGTGGGTAGATTGATATAATCGGCCTTTCCAGCACAGATGCAGCCGCATGCATTGTCTATGCAAAGGAAAATCCACCATCTCTTAGACAGTCCTTGCATGAAATCTCGAAGTCGGGTGACACATGACTAATCCTTGAGCCAGCATGTATGTGTTCATAATACAACTGGTTCTCCAACAATTTCGAGTGCTGTCAGTAATCTTATTTCGGTTGCTTTAGATTCGCTTCCATACATTGCGACGGAGAGTGAGTTAAAAAAGCAGTTCCCATCTCCGCTCACAGACACAGGAAGATATTTAGGGTTCTGTTCGAACTTCAACAAGATGTTCTCTGCCATGCTGTCTGGCCTACATTGTCCATGTGCAACCAAAGTTTCAATGGGCAACTCCATACTCCTCATTAGGATCCGCTCCAACGCAATAGAATCTTTCAAGTTTCCTCCTTTCACAGCATTACGAAGTCTGTTCAACGAAGCATTGCAGTCGAACGGCTCTCCACAGAACTGCCGGCACAAATATTCTAGAGGAAGTTTCACCAAGGTGGAGAAATGTGTGTCAGACAACACTTCGCAGTTTTTATGATGCCATTGGTTGCAATCGCCACAACACATCGTTTCAGACTTGCAACGTTTGCCACAAGCACCACAAGGGTACTTAACACGACGCTTAACCTATAAATGTAAAATAATAATAATAATAATAATAATAATATTAATAATAATACAGTAATAATAAATTGATGTTTATATTTATATTCATGCAGTAGTAATCTTCAGGAGTGAGTGGATAATTATCCTTAACTGTTTAACCTTTGCTTCTCTATAGAATTCCTATAATAATGAAAACGATAATAATAAGGGTAGACCTAATTTGTTTCTCTATATTATCATAATGATTAATAATAACTATAAAATAATTCTTATTTTAGAAATAAATTATAATGATATACTAATAATTATTCTAATTTTTAATAATATTCTATAATACCTGTAATAATAGGCCTAATATTAAATATGCAACAATAGGAAATGAAACGGGCCACGGAAGAAGTCTTTAATTCAATCAATCAATCAACAAGGAATTATAATAGCGCCTATATCTACAATAGAAAATAAATTGGAAGATCTGTAATTACAACGATAATAATATTGGTAATTTCCTTCTCAATAATATTACCATAACCAACAAAACAATAATGTCTGTAATATTAATATTAAACACAAAAACAGAGTAAAAATGTCTTACCTTTGGCTGCATGACTGGGAGCCTTCAACTTTGCTTCAATAGCAGAATGATTACGAAGTACTATGGCGCAAGTTGTTCAAGAACACAATGATTTCAATTACAAATCAACAAAACGATGTGATGAATCCGATGAAATACCTCAACAAAACTCAACAGAACACAGAACACAAACAGTGTAACAACAGGCAACAACACAATTAAAATTAGGCTCTACTAAATTTATGATATCAACTCAAAGTTAAATTTCACTACAATTATGAAATCAGACTTCCTCTATTATAATTTTACCAATTTAAGAAATCCAACTTAATGTCAAACTTCACTACGATTATGAAATTAAATTTAATGTAAAATTTAAAGAATACTGTATTACAGAAATTGAACTTAAAGTAAAATTTCACTAAAAATTAGGAATTACTAGTCACTCACTCACTTTCAAATTCACTTAAAACTTAATCAAAACACACTAGTCACTCACTTTCAAACTCAAATTCACTTAAAAACTTACGGTAATCAAAACACTAGTCACACACTTTCAAATTCAAACGGATATCTATCACACGATCGTTGGTAAGTAATCAAAAACAGTGGTAAGGCAACAGCATCAACGGCAGATCAAAAATGATACACTTAGATGAAAAATCACATCATATAAAGTTGAGCATTTCGATTAGGTAAATTACGGGATAAAGATTAATCATTGAGATTTAGTATTCTAGGCAGTGGGAGTCCTATCACTCAGCAGAGGGACAACCCGGCCGATCCGATGGACTTAAACATAAATATACTGTATTGAATATTCAATACGAGTATAGTATTTTTTCATATTGGATATTCACTCGTATTAATTCGAATAAAGACTGACTTGAGCTTTGTCGTTCTTCATCATAATTTGATAAATAAATGAGTCTATTATAAGGCTTAATGCACTACTTTGCTTTTAAATATTCCGGTGAATAATAATGATATTTTGCCTTAATTTTATGCAGTATTTCACACTCTGAAATTACAGCACATTTGGCTTGCTCAACAGGGTGGTAACAAAATGTGTTTACTGGATTTAAAACAATACTAATGTCGGTTACTTCTTATTATAAGCCTATAGTATACTCTACAGTAGGAATATAAATAGAGCAAGTAGGTTGAATAGAGCCTATTCATCAGCTTGCAGCAAGGTGGTAACAAAAGGTATTACTGGATTAACAATGATCAGTACAGTCGAATAAATTGTTATGTATCATTTATATATTGTATTCTGGGTCGAACATCTCCTCCGTGAGAGTGTTCCTCCGTCTTGTATTGTCCTGAGATCCTCACGTTAGCCAGCTTACCCCTTTAGCTTATCCGCTGTCGAATATAAAAATATATTAAAAGTGTTGTATTATTGTGGAATAGAGCATAAGAATCATGAGATTTCCTCCCCTACAGGCCAAGGCATTCAGTGGTGCTTCGCACTAAGTTCTCCAGTTTTTTACTATCAAATAATGTTTAAAACGCAACATTACAAAATATTAGGAAAAAAAACCTCATTATGTATTAATTTATTAATATATTATTCCAAGCTGTTGATCTTGTGGCTTATACAATTCTGCCTCAGCATTTGGGTTCCTGAAAGGGAAAAAATATGAAAAGAATATATTGATCTGAAAATATCAAAATATTTACTTATACTTAATTAATAAAGATTGTTACCTATAGCGACGACATAAAGCACAGAGGGAAATTTCTCTACAAACCAGAGTAGGCCCTCTGTATAAAATGAAAAGAATATTTTGAACTGAAAATTTTACTAATATTATTTATAGCGATGCCATAAAGCACAGAGGGAAAATTCTTCACAAATCAGAGTACTGCCTTAGCTGTTATTAGGCAAATAACTTTTTTTTTGCTGCTTGATTTTACTTATGGCAGATAACCTGGTCTTTATATCACTCAAACTGTTAACTTGTTCATTTGTAAATTAATTATGTAATGTATAAAATGAGTAATGTATAACAGTATATAACAGATACTGGTAGTTCATCTTCAGGAATCTATAACAGTAGCTTAATGTTTAAAACGACAGAACGCAGACTTTTGACAAGTATCATTATTATGGAAATTAGTATTATGTTGATTCTGTTTTTCTTTTAATATTTCCCTCAGTGAAGAGGATGGGCCGATCCTGGAGGTACTGCAATACCATGGCCAACCCGTGGCCAGGACGGAGCAAGCTCCTACTCCATGGCCTAAATCCAAAAATCAGTTTAATATACTGTAGAAGCTACTCAATGAGAAGCATTTCAGATATTAAGCTGAAAAGAACAGATACTCCTTTTTGATTTAAGAGTTAACGCAACTAATGATTACCTAACAGACAAATAATAACAAAGCGTTAAACCCTCAGGCAGGCTACCCACGGCAGACCGGAATACGTGTGCCTATACGAGACTCCCTGCCAACTGCAACAGAAACTAAACCAAACAAAACAATACTAACAAACCTAGAAACAAACCCAACACATATTACTTCAAAGAAACCGAAATTATACCTTAAGGACCAATTTACCTTCAACTAAAAGAGCAAAGACACACCCTGAATACACCAGGTTTTACGAAAGGCAGAAAAATCCGATGAACATTTAAGATATTTTAACTTAATTCGTAACCGGACAGCATCCCTTACCCTGATCACCATACCCTCCTCAGAAATACATTCATCATGAAACAAAGCCCTACATCTAGACCTCCAAACTATTAACTTAATTTCAGAAATCAAAAACACTGCCAAACGATAAACTTTCCTGTCCGAAGCCACAAAAGAAAAGAACATAATATGCTCCTCACAAAAATGTATATTCAACCCATAAAACTTACTTAACAAATCAAAACACCATTGCCAAACCAAAGACAGACGAAGACATCCCATAATGCAATGACTAATAGATTCGACACTACCACACCCCGGACAATCATACCTTTTCACCAACATCCTGCGCTCTCTGAGGACCCTCCCCACAGGAAGACACCCATGGAGCACCTTCCAACTCACTTCTCTACTATCATTCAACAATAGAGCACAATCCAAAGCCTTGAATGCAGTCCCCCAATCCCTATCAGGGGGAGCACGCACAACCGAGGCAACATAACCTTTCCCCGCCAACATCAACTCATAAACGTTTTTGCTTGTTAATGAGCCCCACTCCACAGCCCCATCACATACATGCCACACCTCAAAACACAACTGACCCAAGCGCTCATACTCAGCTGGAGCATCGAAAGCATGAGGGCGCCTATTGTCCCACCTTGAAATTCCCAATCAATTGAGTAACTGACCCAACCAATAGATACAAAAATAAGACCAATCAACACCCTTTAAAACCAAAGCAATAAAAGACACAAAAACACTTTCACATTTAACAACCGGATCAACCAAACCCAATCCCCCCTCACACTGCGGCAAAAACAAAGATCTGCGAGCCACCACTTCCCTTTTACCCAGCCACAAAAAAGAGAAAATACACTTATACAGCCGTTTTACAAAAACAACAGGCATAATGTATACAGGCACGACGTAAAATAACATAGGCAATGCCAACGAATTTAAAATTAAAACACGACCAAATAACGACATTTTCCTCTTCGCCCACACCTTCTCAAAACGAACCACAACTTCCTCCCATGAAGCGTAACCAGCACCCCACCCCCCAATCCTCACCCCACAAACCTTCAAAGAACCAGTAGACCAAGGTACCGCGTCAACACCCGGGAGCTGTGACATACCCCGCCATTTCCCCAACAACAAACCATGGGTTTTCAATAAATTAAACCGAGAACCAGATGCCATCTCAAAAGATTTTAATAAACTTAACAAGGAAGCAACAGATGCACGGGACGTCAAAATACAGGTCAAGTCATCAGCATACTGTACAAACTTGCATTCCTTTCCCCCTGCTACCCGGTAACACTACCCCCTGAATCAAATGAGATCCCTGAATAAAGCTTGATAATGATTCCATATACAACACATATAACAAAGGAGAAAACGGACACCCCTGCCTTACCCCACGCGTCACTGGAAAAGAATCTGAAACAAAACCATTAACCATAACACAGCTATGTAAATCGAAGTACATGGACCGCAACCACCTCATCATATTACACCCAAACCCGAACCTCTCCAAAACCCGAAAAAAAAGGCTAAAACTAACCCTATCAAATGCCTTCCCCTGGTCAAAAGAAATTAAAGCCAACGGCGAACTACCCTGAGACGCACATTCCACCACATCCCTCAAAAGCACCAAATTAGACTGGAGCCTTCTCCCAGGCACACTACATGACTGGAATGGACCAACTAAAAATTCCATGACTTTACCCAACCGTGAACATAAAAGCTTAGCTAAAATCTTATAATCAACATTCAACAAAGTAATAGGCCGACGGTTCTTCTGGTCTAGTTGATCACCCCCCTTAGGCAACAATTTAATCAAACCCCCTTTCTGAGAGTTAGATAAAGAACCAACCTCGAAAACACACTTATAAACTTGAAGCAGATCAACAGAGAGAACATCCCAAAACTGTAAATAAATCTCTACCGGCAACCCATCCAAACCTGGGGACTTGTCCTTAGCCATTGAACGCAAATCCTCCCGAACCTCCTTAACCTCAATACTCCTTTCTAGAAATGGCATGTCGCTAGCGGGCACAAAACGGCAAATTGACTCAATGAAAGGATCCTGCATTCGCTCATCTAGAGCATCCCCCCCCATCAAAAAGACCCCTGTAAAAACCAGAAAAAACATTCAAAATCCCTTTACTATCTGAAAAAACATTCCCACGCGAATCCCTAACAGAACAAATAATCTTTTCCTCCCCCTTTGCTTTTCCGTACCAAAGAAATATTTTGAACTTTTCTCCCCATCCTCCAAAAATTTAACCCTGGCTCTAACCCTTGCTCCCTCTGTCTCATCCTGCGCCAACTGATCTAACTTAGCTTTAATCTCTGCTAAAGAGTCTAACAAATCAGTAGAATGAGATAAATTAAAATGAACCCTCACTTCATCATACAACCCCTCTAATCTTTCTCTCTCCCTCTTCTTCTCCCTACTAATCCTAACTGAATGATAAACAATAACTTCCTTACATCTCCTCTTGACATCATCCCACCATTCAAGAACAGACGGAAAACCAGGCCTTAAAGTTTGCCATAACTTATACTGAGAAATGAAATCAGCAATTAAGAACCATAACATTGCATTTCCACACCCTCTTTCCCCTCTCCATACCCCCAATGATATCCACCGACATCACCGCCCAATCATGATCAGAGCAATGACATGGAGTATAAACAAAACTTGTAACATAAAAAGAATCAGCAGCATAAAATCTATCTAACCTGCATGCCACCCCCTTCGCAGCTGAAGCCCAAGACGTGGCAACAGCCTGAGGAAATAACAAACGAAATTTGTCAGAAAGACCAAACAGCTTACAAAAATCAGACAACTCCGCAGAGCCAATCGAACCCAAACCCGGATTTCCCCCAACCTTATCTAAGCTAGAATCAGAAACACAATTAAAATCACCCCCCAACAAAAAAGGAAAACCCGGAGAAACCCACCTAGCCAATGAACTGAAAAATATCTTCCTGCAAGCCGGATCATTTGGCGCAACAAAGCTGCACCGACACCCCTTCAAGTTCCACCACCCCGGACAGCGCCGACCCATAAGGGTCCCGCCTAACCCTTCCAAGAGATAAACCCGGGCGCAACAAAATCCCCACCCCACCACTCCTGCTGGAATTCCCACCCCAATAGGCACTCGCACCCCACTCCTAAGACCACAAATCACCTTCTTGAACAGAACAATGGACTTCTTGTAAAAAAACCACGTCATACTTTTTCTCTCGACATAACTGAAAAATCTGGGCCCTCCTGGAGGAATCTCTAAACCCATTGACATTTAATGAAGCAAAAACAACCATTAAAACAACAGTAAAGGAAAAATTTCTGAATACCCTACGAAAAATGGACTTAAGCAAGTCATTTATCGGTGTCCTGAGAACATACCCAGCGTGTTTCAATGACAAATGCGGGATAAGGTCAGCAGGCCTGGAAGATCTTTTCCGACACCCCCTTACCGGACAATCCACCATGACAGCCCCTTTCCAGTTTAATATAGAAGCTACCCATGCTTCTTCGACATATGATCCACATATGCCTGCCAAGAAGAAAAAGAACATTTACTGCAACCCTTCGGGCAACTAATGACTAAACCTCTCTCCTTGGCTAACTTAGAAACCTCTAATTTATACAGGGCCTTTTTGCGCCGTGCCATCTCAGCATCTACCGGCTCCATTACCTCATCATCCAAAGATGCCTGATCACTGACAATCGTCAGATTCCGATCCTCAGAGTCTGGTAAAGACCCCCCCCCCTCACAGTCGGCCCACGAAAACTGACCACCCTCACTTTCCACCTCCGGACCCTCCGCTGACTCATAGCCAGCTGCACCGCTCTCCACAACACCATCCTCCTCCACGTCCACACCCTTCTCTACCACAACGGTCGCCACAGATCCCCCTGAACCTCCGCCCCCTCACGATGACTCTCTTCAGTACCATCATCTACCCCATCCTGCCTATCACCCCTAGCTTTAGCACTAAAGGAAACCGGGCAATTACGAAACACGTGCCGACTGGCACTACAAATAGAGCAGACAATATCATTGGTACAATCTAGGGCCACATGACCCAATTGAAAGCAGCGATTGCACTTCTTGCGCTCACACTCTCGGATCATATGACTCTCCTCTCCACAACGCAAGCAAGTCCGTGGCTGACCCCAATACGAAACCCAACAATACCTGGAACCAATGCGCACCTGCGACGGGATGTTTTCCTTAAGATCTATCAAATACTGGCGGTTGCCATTCAGAACACTTGGAAAAGCACGATGCGACAGCATACGTGAATCCAAAACCTCACCATACCTTGACAACACGCACCTCACAAAACTATCTGGAACTTCAAATTCCACATACAGCACAGTGACAGTCACTCTGCTATCATATGGCCTAATATTCGGGCCCGAAACCAACTTACTTGCCGCACAACGGCAAATGACAGGTGACTTAAACGATACATCAAATGATCCATTGATCAGACACTGAACAGCAACTACCTCATCCAACCTCAACCCAGTCTTTCTGAGATCGGCGAAAACCACACCCACATCTTTGCTACCATCATAACTTAAATTCAGAGACGCTGTCCTCCTCATTGTGGAAACTAGAATAAGTATATCCAACAATACAATACTATCTTAGCCAAAAGGCCGAGAAGCGATGCCCTACAAATGCTTCCAATGATACTAATATAAAATAACAGTTTGCTAAACTACCGGTGTTGGAAATGCTCAA